ATTGAATATTTAAAGGATTCATTTATCTGTAAAAAAAATTTCATCATTATAAATTTTTATAAATACCGACTCTTCCTTAATTCTTTTTTTTTATAAACAACGACTCTTCCTTGATTCTTTTTTTATAAATATCCTTCATACAATTTGAAAAGGCCAAGAAAATTTTCTCATAAGAAAAAAATTGAAAACTGACAAGAATTAACTGAACAATCAATCAAAATGAAATTCAATATTTTCCTCCTATTCTTGATCATCTTTGCTGTTGTTGCTTTAGCAATACCATTTGATCATAGTTTGAAGAAACGTGAGTATTTCATTATGATGTGCTGTAACGGACTTACTAATTTGTCCATCACCAAATTCCCATTTTATTTTTTGATAATTATTAATTGGATACAATCAATATATCATTTATTACAATAAATATCATTTCTTTTTAAAAAAACATATATTAATTGTTGATTTTCATTTTATTTTATTTTAAATCATAATAGGGGAGTAAGTATTTTCATCATTACTATTACTACAGTCAATATCATTGTTTTTAAAAAATTATTAACTGTTGATTTCATTTTATTTTCAATAACAAATAGCTGGTAAGTATTTTCATCATAATTACTATTACTACAGTCAATATCTTTGTTTTTGGAAAATATTAACTGTTGATTTTCATTTTTATTTTAAATAATAAATAGCGAGTAAGTATTTTCATCATCATTACTATTACTACAGTCAATATCATTGTTTTGAAAATATTAATTAACTGTTAATTTTCATTTTATTTAAATAATAAATAGTCCGTAAGTGTTTTCATAATTATTATTACTACAATCAATATCATTGTTTTTTGAAAGATATTAACTGTTGATTTTCATTTATTTTAAATAATTAAATAGAGAGTAAGTATTTCATTATCATTATTATTATTGCATCCAATATCATTGTTTTTGAAAAATATTAACTATTGATTTTTGTTTTATTTTAAATAATAAATAGTCCGTAAGTATTTTCATCATTACTATTACTACAGTCAATATCATTGTTTTTGAAAAATATTAACTGTTGATTTTTGTTTTATTTTAAATAATAAAATAGTCAGTAAGTATTTTCATCATCATTATTATTATTGCAGCCAATATCATTTTTTAAAAAAATATTAACTGTTGATTTTTGTTTTATTTTAAATAATAAATAGTTCGTAAGTATTTCATCATCATTATTATTACTACAGTCAATATCAAATTTTTTGAAAAATATTAATTGTTGATTTTCGTTTTATCCTAAATAATAAACATAGGATGTAAGTATTTTCATCATTATTATTACTACAGTCAATATCATTGTTTTTGAAAACATATTAACTGTTGATTTTTGTTTTATTTTAAATAATAAATAGTGAGTAAGTATTTTCATCATCATTACTATTACTACAGTCAATATCATTGTTTTTGAAAACATATTAACTGTTGATTTTCATTTATTTTAAATAATAAATAGTCCGTAAGTATTTTCATCATCATTATATCACTATAGTCAATATCATTGTTTTTGAAAAATATTAACTGTTGATTTTCATTTTATTTTAAATATTTAATAGTTGGTAAGTATTTTCACCATCATTATTATTATTGCAGTCAATATCATTGTTTTTGAAATATATTAACTGTTGATTTTCATTTCATTTTAAATAATAAATAGTCCGTAAGTATTTTCATCATCATTATTATTACTACAGTCAATATCATTATTTTTGAAAAATATTAATTGTTGATTTTCGTTTTATTTTAAATAATAAAGTGTCTTGTAAGTATTTTCATCATCATTATTATTACTACAGTCAATATCATTATTTTTGAAAATATTAATTAACTGTTAATTTTCATTTTATTTTAAATAATAAATAGCACGTAAGTATCTTCACCATCTAAAGACTAGTGCCGTAATCCAAAAAAGGAAAAAGTATGGTTGCAAAAGTGGTCGCAAAAGTAATTGCAACCACTTTTTATATGCTGTAAATACAATTACTACCATCATCATAATTTACGGCACTAGTCTTTATCACCATCAATATTATTATTACAGTCAATATCATTATTTTTGAAAATATTAATTAACTGTTAATTTTCATTTTATTTTAAATAATAAACAGCACGTAAGTATTTTCACCATCAATATTATTATTGCAGTCAATATCATTGTTTTTGAAAATATTAACTGTTGATTTTCATTTTATTTTAAATAATAAATAGTCCGTAAGTATTTTCATCATCATTACTATTACTACAGTCAATATCATTGTTTTTGAAAATATTAATTAACTGTTAATTTTTATTTTATTTAAATAATAAATAGAAAGTAAGTATTTTTCATCATTATTATTACTACAATCAATATCATTATTTTTGAAAAACATTAACTGTTAATTTTCATTTTATTTTAATAATAAATAGCCAGTAAGTATTTTCATCATCATTATTACTACAGTCAATATCATTGTTTTTGAAAAATATTAACTGTTGATTTTCATTTTATTTTAAATAATAAATAGTGGGTAAGTATCTTCATCACTATTATTACTACAGTCAATATCATTGTTTTTGAAAATATTAACTGTTTATTTTCATTTTATTTTAAAAAATAAATAGAGAGTAAGTGTTTTCATCAATATTATTACTACAGTCAATATCATTGTTTTTGAAAAATATTAACTGTTGATTTTCATTTTATTTTAAAAATAAATAGGATGCAAGTATTTTCATCATTATTATTATTGCAGTCAATATCATTGTTTTGAAAAATATTAACTATTGATTTTTGTTTTATTTTAAATAATAAATAGTCCGTAAGTATTTTCATCATTACTATTACTACAGTCAATATCATTGTTTTTGAAAAATATTAACTGTTGATTTTTGTTTTATTTTAAATAATAAAATAGTCAGTAAGTATTTTCATCATCATTATTATTATTGCAGCCAATATCATTTTTTAAAAAAATATTAACTGTTGATTTTTGTTTTATTTTAAATAATAAATAGTTCGTAAGTATTTCATCATCATTATTATTACTACAGTCAATATCAAATTTTTTGAAAAATATTAATTGTTGATTTTCGTTTTATCCTAAATAATAAACATAGGATGTAAGTATTTTCATCATTATTATTACTACAGTCAATATCATTGTTTTTGAAAACATATTAACTGTTGATTTTTGTTTTATTTTAAATAATAAATAGTGAGTAAGTATTTTCATCATCATTACTATTACTACAGTCAATATCATTGTTTTTGAAAACATATTAACTGTTGATTTTCATTTATTTTAAATAATAAATAGTCCGTAAGTATTTTCATCATCATTATATCACTATAGTCAATATCATTGTTTTTGAAAAATATTAACTGTTGATTTTCATTTTATTTTAAATATTTAATAGTTGGTAAGTATTTTCACCATCATTATTATTATTGCAGTCAATATCATTGTTTTTGAAATATATTAACTGTTGATTTTCATTTCATTTTAAATAATAAATAGTCCGTAAGTATTTTCATCATCATTATTATTACTACAGTCAATATCATTATTTTTGAAAAATATTAATTGTTGATTTTCGTTTTATTTTAAATAATAAAGTGTCTTGTAAGTATTTTCATCATCATTATTATTACTACAGTCAATATCATTATTTTTGAAAATATTAATTAACTGTTAATTTTCATTTTATTTTAAATAATAAATAGCACGTAAGTATCTTCACCATCTAAAGACTAGTGCCGTAATCCAAAAAAGGAAAAAGTATGGTTGCAAAAGTGGTCGCAAAAGTAATTGCAACCACTTTTTATATGCTGTAAATACAATTACTACCATCATCATAATTTACGGCACTAGTCTTTATCACCATCAATATTATTATTACAGTCAATATCATTATTTTTGAAAATATTAATTAACTGTTAATTTTCATTTTATTTTAAATAATAAACAGCACGTAAGTATTTTCACCATCAATATTATTATTGCAGTCAATATCATTGTTTTTGAAAATATTAACTGTTGATTTTCATTTTATTTTAAATAATAAATAGTCCGTAAGTATTTTCATCATCATTACTATTACTACAGTCAATATCATTGTTTTTGAAAATATTAATTAACTGTTAATTTTTATTTTATTTAAATAATAAATAGTCCGTAAGTGTTTTCATCATTATTATTACTACAATCAATATCATTGTTTTGAAAATATTAACTGTTGATTTTCATTTTATTTTAAATAATAAATAGTCCGTAAGTATTTTCATCATCATTATTTATTGCAGCCAATATCATTGTTTTTGAAAATATTAATTAACTGTTAATTTTCATTTTATTTAATAATAAGTAGCCCGTAAGTATTTTCATCATCAATATTATTATTGCAGTCAATATCATTGTTTTTGAAAAATATTAACTGTTGATTTTCATTTTATTTCAAATAATAGCAAGTAAGTATTTTCATCATTATTATTATTACTACAATCAATATCATTGTTTTTGAAAAATATTAATTGTTTATTTTCATTTTATTTTAAATAATAAATAGTCCGTAAGTATTTTCATCATCATTATTATTACTACAGTCAATATAATTATTTTTGAAAAATATTAACTGTCGATTTTCATTTTATTTTAAATAATAAATAGCCAATAAATATTTTCATCATTATTACTTTAAATAATAAATACTGAAATAGCATGTGAGTATTTTCATCATTATTATTACTACAGTCAATATCATTTCATTGTTTTGAAAAATATCAACTGTTGATTTTCATTTTATTTTAAATAGTAAATTCTCTTATAAATTTTTGGTAATATAGATTATATTCTTTTTTACTTTCATATTCCTTTACTTCATTATTTATATTTATTATTTTATCATTAGATTAATAAGCAATGTTTTTTTAATATTTATATTGCATAAGAACAACATAAATTAAACAAAAAATATTATTTAAAAAGTATCTATATACATTTTGTCTTCTATATGCCTTTTAGAACGTATCTAAAAATAATAAATAATATATGTTGTTCCAGTTATGATGTGATGTAGAGGCCTGCACTGATCATCATAATTGAATGGATTACCCGGATTCTTAATGGGTTCAAATATTCTTAACTATAAATAACAAACGATTGAATTTATCAGTTAAAAATTTCACGTGACTAAATTATAAAGTTAATATTAACCATTTCTAACTGGTTAATCAGTTAACTTTTAATTTTAAGGTTGTGGGTGAAATTCCTCCAGAAATCAGTTGACAGAGTTTCGTCAGGTTATACATTAATTGTTTATTAGAGTTTTGCATTTGGAGGTTTGGTCAATCGTCAGGGTTTTGACAAGATATATACTAATTGTTCATTAGAGTTTCGCCAGAGTTTTGACAGTCACAAAGAGGTTTCGGCAAGCAACCTTAGTGCCAACCTCTATGAGCAAGCAACAATAATGTGCAAATTGTCAAAAAAGAGAAGAGAATTGTAAAGAGATATTTAATATTATTATTAAAATGCATTAACGAATTGTGATTTGAAATCAATATTAAGTCACATTGTTTCATATTTACTATAAATAAGTTTCGAATACGATGTACAATACGATTAAGGCTTTCTTTTGAATCTAAGATTACTCAATTCGATCAAGTATTTAGTGAGATACAAAAATATATGGTAATAGGTAAAGAACTATTGCGTTTTTTTGAATTTTAAATACTTGTATGGCATTTTCAAATAAGTATCATAATCAACCCGCCTATCACACAACTAGATAAAACATTCATCAAGTATATTTTACAAAACTTGCTTTCCAAGTTTTGTAGGTCTTGTCTAGTGTTAGTTAATTAGTTTTAGAGAGATTCACAGAAAAACAGTTTTATGAACCCAAGTATATTGAAAACAGTAATGGTAATACGTTTTGTTCAATATTTACTTCTTATCTATTTTTACATTATTATTAATTAATATTTTATATATATATAGGAATGTAATGATTAAATTAAAAGGTATTTACATCCAAAGGTTAATGGTTAAAGGAACTGTTACGCGCCATATTTTTATTTATTATTAATTATGATATACCATTAATTATTAATCACTTTTTTAGATCTGGTGGTGTACGATCAGAAAGAATTGTTATGTGACAATCAAATTAGTTATTATTATTATATTATTTATATTATTGTTATATGTGACTACTATTATTCTTTTCAATCATTAATTTTTAATTTTTTCTATATATTTTAGAAAGGGAACATGCAAATCAGCCTGCAGTAAGATTTCTATTTATTTATGCTTTCAATTTTTTAAAAAAATTTCTAGTCTAATTTAATACTGTACATTACTTTCAAGTCGATTACAAATCCTGTTCAGAAATATGGAAAACTTCAAACAGAACATGGATTGGTGATTAACTCAAAGCTGATAATAATTATTATAACAACAATAATATTTTCTTTATAGAGTTCTATATGTAGCATCAGCATATACTGTTCTAAACAAAGAATTAGAAGCTATTTTATTATATGAGCGTGCTAGAGAATATAATGCGCAAGCAAAAACATCATTATCAAAAATAATGATGAAATTCTAGTTGAGTTGTTACACAAAAATGTTGGTGAATTAGAAAATCTACATACAGTATTAAGGGCTCATAAATGTAAAGTACATGCATAACGATGTCTTCAACATGGTACTGTTTCAGAGAATTCGGAATTAAGTAAAAGGTTTAGTGAAATGAAAATTGAAGATAAAAATAAAATAATAAAACTGAAGAGTCTAAATTTGAAAATAAGGATAAAGAGGTAATTGTATAAACTATACATTATAAATATTATATTTTATATTTTATGAATTTATTATTAATTATATGTTTTTTTTAAAGTCTTATTTGTTGGAAAATCTTAATCAATATCCTATTAATTTTTCAAAAACAAATGCACGATTAATCAAATTCCCTCCAGAATTTTCACCCATTCCAGCAAAACCATTATTTTTGATATAGCGTATAACTATTTAGATTTTCCATCTAATCCATCACAAAGAGCTGATCATAAACCGACAAAAGAATCGGTTATATTTGATGGATTATTTAAAAATATATTGGGACAAAATTAATAATAATAAAATTTTCTTTTTTTTTTTTATAATTATTTAATGATGCAAAGAAAGCACAAAGTATAACATATTTAATTGTTTTAATGGTTTGAATGAAGGAAAGAAAAAATTACGTGATTTTTTTTTAATCTGTGTAGAATATTAATTAAATCTCTAATAAAAATGCATTTTTCTATTAAATAATTACACTGTTGTTGCTATGTTATTGTTCATGCAAATAATTGTAAAGCCTGTTTTGTTTTTTTCCCACAACCAGGACATGATTTTTTGTGTGCTTTGAATTGGCTTTGACACTCTCCACAACTTACATGTCCACAATCTAAAGCAAACAGCTTATCCTTCAGTTTAACTTCACAGTTCATACATATTAAAATTGTGTCTTTTTCAATGTTCTTGGCATATCCTTCTGGTCGATTAACTCGTGCCGGTCGATGTCGTTGTTTTGGTTGTTGTTGCTTTTTTTTAACACTCGTAGTTCGTGTTGTACTATGAGCTAGTATTTGATTGTTAAGAGCTGATGTAACAGATCTTGTTATACGACGATTTGGCTCGATACGAGTAGTTTGATTACCGTTTCTCATTGAACAGAAGTATATAATATTTTGAAATTAGTTTAGATGTTTGTTTATTAATATTTTAGTAATTGTAAAAAACTTTTTTTAAAAAGTTTCTTATTTACATTAACATTATCGCGTATCCTATTACCACGCTAAGCATGATTAATATGAAAAAAAAAAAAACTGACGACATCATGATGATTGTTTTGTTAGTAAAGTGCCAGCGAAAATTATGGATCTGGCTAAATTTTTAAGGGTATAGGTAACACAAATTTTACTATGATACAGTAGATAATTTTTTGCCGATCACTAAAAATATTAGTGTAGTTGTAATAATGTTATTATTATATATATAACAGTAATATATAGGAAAAAATTATTACAAAACCAAGAAATCCTTTAGATATACGGATGCTTACAGAAAAGGCCATTTGTAATTTGAAAATATAAATCGCATACCTGAATCTGTATGAAATAGATATTAATATGCAATACTACAAGTTTTATTTTTTTCCAAAAGTTCGGGTCATGGCGCAGTCATTGCAGTATTTAGATGACGCCATAATAATAGTAATGGTAAATGGAAATATTTCGATTAATTGCTATTCGCATAATCAATTTCTTTATTTATATCAAAGGAATAGCCATTCTTAAATTTATCAAGTGTGAAACTAGTTTTAAAAATTAATATATTAATTTCCTTTGCTTTGGGTTCAAGTGTTTTTTAATATTTAACATTTATATATATAAATTAAAATCTATGTATTTTCTCTCAGTTGAATCAAAAATAAATAAATATTACTTGTTGTTATTTACTCCTTTCCTTGTGGCTAGTTTGTCTTCAAATAAACAATCACCATCATTTAAGACCAAACAGACAAAAACGTAATTGGACATGGACTTATTTCAAAAGTGATCACAACGATCAAGAAGAACCAGTAAGTGTTAAATGAAGCTGGTAAAGAATGTGATACTGTTTTTTGCTGATGGTAGCTCTATTGGAAATCAATAAATCACAACTTGAAACAATTCATCCTTCAATTAAATAATTAATATATTAATATTATCCAATAATATTTGCTATTGAAAAACCTTTTAATATTAACGGCTCATAATGATAAATAAATAATAGCATAAAATCCTGAAACGAATCTTTAACATTTCTTTCTAACTCATAGTATGTATGGTACGTTAGTATATTATATTCGTTCAATTTTATTTTTATTCCATAAAGGTTTTTTTTAAAAAGTTTGTACTCGCACATCCATAGTATTTATTAATTCATCTCGTAATTGGGCTTTTTTTTTAAAAAAATGTTTTTTTTTAGACAAAAATCTTTATCATTGGTGTCTGGCTTCAAAAGTTTATTTGAGCTTAAACCGTTAAATTCCGATAGATGATATTGAATATTTAAAGGATTCATTTATCTGTAAAAAAAATTTCATCATTATAAATTTTTATAAATACCGACTCTTCCTTAATTCTTTTTTTTTATAAACAACGACTCTTCCTTGATTCTTTTTTTATAAATATCCTTCATACAATTTGAAAAGGCCAAGAAAATTTTCTCATAAGAAAAAAATTGAAAACTGACAAGAATTAACTGAACAATCAATCAAAATGAAATTCAATATTTTCCTCCTATTCTTGATCATCTTTGCTGTTGTTGCTTTAGCAATACCATTTGATCATAGTTTGAAGAAACGTGAGTATTTCATTATGATGTGCTGTAACGGACTTACTAATTTGTCCATCACCAAATTCCCATTTTATTTTTTGATAATTATTAATTGGATACAATCAATATATCATTTATTACAATAAATATCATTTCTTTTTAAAAAAACATATATTAATTGTTGATTTTCATTTTATTTTATTTTAAATCATAATAGGGGAGTAAGTATTTTCATCATTACTATTACTACAGTCAATATCATTGTTTTTAAAAAATTATTAACTGTTGATTTCATTTTATTTTCAATAACAAATAGCTGGTAAGTATTTTCATCATAATTACTATTACTACAGTCAATATCTTTGTTTTTGGAAAATATTAACTGTTGATTTTCATTTTTATTTTAAATAATAAATAGCGAGTAAGTATTTTCATCATCATTACTATTACTACAGTCAATATCATTGTTTTGAAAATATTAATTAACTGTTAATTTTCATTTTATTTAAATAATAAATAGTCCGTAAGTGTTTTCATAATTATTATTACTACAATCAATATCATTGTTTTTTGAAAGATATTAACTGTTGATTTTCATTTATTTTAAATAATTAAATAGAGAGTAAGTATTTCATTATCATTATTATTATTGCATCCAATATCATTGTTTTTGAAAAATATTAACTATTGATTTTTGTTTTATTTTAAATAATAAATAGTCCGTAAGTATTTTCATCATTACTATTACTACAGTCAATATCATTGTTTTTGAAAAATATTAACTGTTGATTTTTGTTTTATTTTAAATAATAAAATAGTCAGTAAGTATTTTCATCATCATTATTATTATTGCAGCCAATATCATTTTTTAAAAAAATATTAACTGTTGATTTTTGTTTTATTTTAAATAATAAATAGTTCGTAAGTATTTCATCATCATTATTATTACTACAGTCAATATCAAATTTTTTGAAAAATATTAATTGTTGATTTTCGTTTTATCCTAAATAATAAACATAGGATGTAAGTATTTTCATCATTATTATTACTACAGTCAATATCATTGTTTTTGAAAACATATTAACTGTTGATTTTTGTTTTATTTTAAATAATAAATAGTGAGTAAGTATTTTCATCATCATTACTATTACTACAGTCAATATCATTGTTTTTGAAAACATATTAACTGTTGATTTTCATTTATTTTAAATAATAAATAGTCCGTAAGTATTTTCATCATCATTATATCACTATAGTCAATATCATTGTTTTTGAAAAATATTAACTGTTGATTTTCATTTTATTTTAAATATTTAATAGTTGGTAAGTATTTTCACCATCATTATTATTATTGCAGTCAATATCATTGTTTTTGAAATATATTAACTGTTGATTTTCATTTCATTTTAAATAATAAATAGTCCGTAAGTATTTTCATCATCATTATTATTACTACAGTCAATATCATTATTTTTGAAAAATATTAATTGTTGATTTTCGTTTTATTTTAAATAATAAAGTGTCTTGTAAGTATTTTCATCATCATTATTATTACTACAGTCAATATCATTATTTTTGAAAATATTAATTAACTGTTAATTTTCATTTTATTTTAAATAATAAATAGCACGTAAGTATCTTCACCATCTAAAGACTAGTGCCGTAATCCAAAAAAGGAAAAAGTATGGTTGCAAAAGTGGTCGCAAAAGTAATTGCAACCACTTTTTATATGCTGTAAATACAATTACTACCATCATCATAATTTACGGCACTAGTCTTTATCACCATCAATATTATTATTACAGTCAATATCATTATTTTTGAAAATATTAATTAACTGTTAATTTTCATTTTATTTTAAATAATAAACAGCACGTAAGTATTTTCACCATCAATATTATTATTGCAGTCAATATCATTGTTTTTGAAAATATTAACTGTTGATTTTCATTTTATTTTAAATAATAAATAGTCCGTAAGTATTTTCATCATCATTACTATTACTACAGTCAATATCATTGTTTTTGAAAATATTAATTAACTGTTAATTTTTATTTTATTTAAATAATAAATAGTCCGTAAGTGTTTTCATCATTATTATTACTACAATCAATATCATTGTTTTGAAAATATTAACTGTTGATTTTCATTTTATTTTAAATAATAAATAGTCCGTAAGTATTTTCATCATCATTATTTATTGCAGCCAATATCATTGTTTTTGAAAATATTAATTAACTGTTAATTTTCATTTTATTTAATAATAAGTAGCCCGTAAGTATTTTCATCATCAATATTATTATTGCAGTCAATATCATTGTTTTTGAAAAATATTAACTGTTGATTTTCATTTTATTTCAAATAATAGCAAGTAAGTATTTTCATCATTATTATTATTACTACAATCAATATCATTGTTTTTGAAAAATATTAATTGTTTATTTTCATTTTATTTTAAATAATAAATAGTCCGTAAGTATTTTCATCATCATTATTATTACTACAGTCAATATAATTATTTTTGAAAAATATTAACTGTCGATTTTCATTTTATTTTAAATAATAAATAGCCAATAAATATTTTCATCATTATTACTTTAAATAATAAATACTGAAATAGCATGTGAGTATTTTCATCATTATTATTACTACAGTCAATATCATTTCATTGTTTTGAAAAATATCAACTGTTGATTTTCATTTTATTTTAAATAGTAAATTCTCTTATAAATTTTTGGTAATATAGATTATATTCTTTTTTACTTTCATATTCCTTTACTTCATTATTTATATTTATTATTTTATCATTAGATTAATAAGCAATGTTTTTTTAATATTTATATTGCATAAGAACAACATAAATTAAACAAAAAATATTATTTAAAAAGTATCTATATACATTTTGTCTTCTATATGCCTTTTAGAACGTATCTAAAAATAATAAATAATATATGTTGTTCCAGTTATGATGTGATGTAGAGGCCTGCACTGATCATCATAATTGAATGGATTACCCGGATTCTTAATGGGTTCAAATATTCTTAACTATAAATAACAAACGATTGAATTTATCAGTTAAAAATTTCACGTGACTAAATTATAAAGTTAATATTAACCATTTCTAACTGGTTAATCAGTTAACTTTTAATTTTAAGGTTGTGGGTGAAATTCCTCCAGAAATCAGTTGACAGAGTTTCGTCAGGTTATACATTAATTGTTTATTAGAGTTTTGCATTTGGAGGTTTGGTC